TTCAGTTGCCTCAAAATAGCAACGTGCCAGCAATGCACCTGAACACACCTTGTTTTCAGACCAGCACGCCCATGGGTGCACAAACGGGCGCAAATGATTTAGCTATTTAAACAACGTAGCGCTGGGCGTGAAAATAACAACTGCGTCTGGCTGAACGAACAAAAAACAATTGAGTCGCCGCCGGGTGTATGATAGGGCCCATTATGTTGCTATTCTATTTTAAATGAATCCGCGTTCAGAATTAACATGCCTATGCAGAAATAAAGACCGCGGACATATGGAAGCTTGTGTAATCACTTAACGTTATAAGAAAAGAAAAGAAAAAAAGAAATAAAAACACATTCATAATAATTTCAGTGTGTAAATGTCAGATTGTCTGAAAAACAGGTTTAACAACTTTTTTTCACAGGTGCCTTGTGTCTGTGCTTGTTTCCATGGTGCATATCATTCCCAAAGCATTTAATTCAACACTAACAACAACAAAAACCCACCTCATTTTGTGTCCATCTTCAGTAAACATCAAATCATGAAAATACCAACGGAGCAGGACGTTTTGGAGAAGTGTTATCAAACGCGTTTGAAGCTTCTTCAGCTCAGGACAGGTGAGATTACACCTGTAAACACTACAAATGTAGGAAGTAGTGACGTGTTGTTCGCGAACGAGCCGGCTCTAAGAGCCGATTCTATGGCGGCAATTCTATGCCATTAATAACCGAGCGCACCACTGATGCTGGCCCGCGCCGTAAAGCAATTCCGCGAGGAAACGGGAGCCCGCGAGCTCATTTCAAAACCTTTAATTAAGGACACTTTTCCCCTTGTTCATGAACCTGGCAATCTGTGCATCCTCCACTCCTTGGTCTCCCTTGACCCTGTTTTAAAGAAGAAAAAAATACAATACATTTCCAGAAATAAAATTCAAATGCTTTTACTTTCCTGAACTGGGCGGTTGTTATTCGCTGCATTCAAGTACACGACCTGCAAATACAAAGGAAAAAAGAATAATGCAACAAAAAGAACACAAATAAATACATTGGAACTGAATGTATTACAAGCTTCTTTTCCATAAAAAGGAATCAATGTTCATATACATCATCGTGAATGGACTGATTTTGATAGCAGATGACTAGTAACACTGTAAATCAAATGCATACATGGTGAAACCTGTGTTTTATAGGAACACAGACTAAACAAACCTTCAAATATTACGATGTATCTATTTACAAGATTAAAGATAAAACGTTTTGAAAACTTTACTGTCATTCCTATAGCTTTATATATAGCCTGTGTGTGTGTGTGTGTGTGTGCGTGCATCATTACAGTCTTTAAAAAGGGTTCATATGTGTATCTCTTATCATCAGAAGACTGCAATCATTAGTAAACCGAAGACTTCCTATTAATAAAGTATCTGAAAAAGATCCACTCTATGAACAATGCATTAAATTACATTAAATAAAGACAAAATAAATGAATAAAACAAGCAAATGAAAAGATAACTCACATGTATCTGGTCCACTGGTGCCATGTCTTAAGTCAAGAGAATTATAAATCATCTTATAACAGGCGTCCAAAACTGACTTCCGGAAAAGAGGAATAACCAATGACATTTGAGGTTACAATTACAACAGCAAGCTCCGCACGACTGACAAAAATGAAAGTGTTCGCGCGCGAGGGTTTGAAATGAGCTCACGGGTATGGAAAGCCAAATGGTTCAGAATACGCGGGCTCCTGTTTCCTCGCGTGTAAATCTGTTTTCCTCTCGCGGAATTGCTTTACGGCGCGCGCCAGCATCAGTGGTGCGCTCGGTTATTAATGGCATAGAATTGCCGCCATACGATTCTTTGTAGCGAACGGGAAGAGCCGACTCCCATCGGGGAGAGCCGAATCTTCAGCCGAAAAATTGCATAAAAATAAGGCTTTTATGAAAACACTAAATAAAAATAGCTTACCAACACACAAACCATTCAGAATTGCTAAATTGGCCTAAATTAGAAGGATGAGTGATCCTAAATAAAGAGCCATTTGGGAGCCGTAAGAGCCGGCTCTTCTAAGGGAGCCGAGCCAAAAGAGCCGAACTTCTCATCACTAGTAGGAAGAGTTGAGTGACTAGTTTAGTGACTTTGCCTACACCGCTAGAGTGGGGTTGAAAACAGTGGGGCTCAGCAACCTTCTTAACAAGTGCCCCCTTTCCCAAAATGATAATGCCAGATAAAATGAGCCATCAGTTAAAATGAAAAAAAGAAAGAAAAAAAGGTTTAAGTATATTTCCTCAATGAGTATGCTGTCAATCAGTCAGTATTCCCCTCCAAACAATTCTAAATGGTTTGATCCATTGCAACTTGATCTAATAAAAGTAGGCAGCGTCCAAAACTGCATACTTCCCCACAATATAGTAAGTAAATAACAGTATGTGAAAAGAAAAGTATATTTGAATTCACATTCATAAACAGTAGGTGAAAAAGTTCCCGTATGACCTACTACAACGGGCGAGATTTTGAAGTGTGCACCCAGTCAACAATTTGCGAATGACAGTGAAGCGACACAACTGACACAGGTCACATGACAATGACAACAATGTTATTATGCTGGAAACACTCTCCTCTTTACATTAAAAAAAAAAACTTTTATGGTCTACTCTAAAGGAAACATGTACTTGCTATGAGTAAATTGTTGTTGTTGTTTTTTTTGTCACATATTTGTAATAATCTGAATGTAGGGCAACATTCTGTTTGTTTTATGGGTTTGTAATTGTTTTATTGTGAAACTTTTGTGCTGCCATTTTGGCCAGGACTCCCTGGAAGAAGAGATTTGCATCTCAATGGAACTATCCTGGTAAAATAAAAGATAAATAAAAAAAACATGGTCAAAGTAGTATGTGTGGATTCAATGTATACTTTATAGAACATACTTTCTAATGGTTACAAGTAATTACTTAATCAAAATAAGTGTGCAACTCAGAGAGTGTGTGATTTCAGAAGTGACAGAAAGATTAGGCTGTTGACTTGTTGCCTATCTGCCAGTAACATTGTAGGTAGTGTTTGCGCTCAAAGGTAGCCTACCACCTGAAACTGATTTCAGACAGGCTTCTGAGGCAGCATTATCTGAGGATCAAAAAAAAGAATACAGAGAGCTTTGGTGATAACTAAGCAAATATTTAATTACTATAATACTAATTTCTCTAGATATGAAATCAAAAGTTGAAAAAGACCACCACTGACCACAAGCCACAACTTTCAGATGGAATTTTATTTTTTTAGCTCTCGCGAAATTGAACGGACAGGCAAACGTTTGGAATAATTGCATTATTACTGTTTAGTAAAAAACAGTAATACTGTGAAATATTATTTCATTTTAAAAGAACTGTTTTCTATTTTTATATATTTTAAAATGTAATCCTGTGATAGCAAAGCTGAATTTTCAGCAGCCATTACTCCAGTCTTCAGTGTTACATGACCCTTCAGAAATCATTCTAATTTCACACTTTCATTACATGGACTCACAAAGATGGATTCTTTTTCTAAAAATCTGTTTGTGTTCATCTGCATAAAGAAAGTAATATACATCTAGGATGGCATGAGGGTGAATAAATGATGAGCGAATTTATGAGCCTTATTATTTGACTAGTGAGGTCCATCTCACTAGTCTTTCACAAGCCAGTATATCCAAACCTATATGCACCCACACTTGTCATGTTTTTTTAAATGAACCAAAATAAAGTATTAATTGAGATTAATTCATTAGCAATGGCTGTCCTATCTTAATGGGGACATTTTTATTGTTTCCTGAGGTGCACTCTTATAATTTATGATTAAAATGCCATTTTCTACCCCGATTTTAATGCTATTTTTTTTCATTCCTGTCAAAAATAAAATATGGCATTACCCTGGATAAGGTCTATAGGTGGACTTCTGACATATTAAAGGGCTAGTTCACACAAAAATGAAACTTCTGTCATAATTTAACCACCCTCATGCTGTTCCAAACCTATTAGACATTCAATCATCTTCAAAACACAAATGAAGATATTTTTAATGAAACATGAGATTTCTTTGCCTCCACTGAAAGTCCATTTCAGCAAAACTTTGACGCTTCAAAAAGTTCATAAAGACATTGTAAAAGAGCTCTATTAATTTAGCGATTAAATCCAAGTCTTCTGAAGAGACATGATCATTTTATGTGATGAACAGATTCAATTTAGGCTTTTATTCACATAAATATTGATAATCGCACATAAATAAAGCATATAAACTATGGTAAACAGAAGCTCAGACGTGCTTGATATTTGAAAACCAATGAGGTTTGTTCTGCATTGTATTGTTGGTGGCATGAACTTTCAATGGAGGGACAGAAATATAATTAATAGTATCATTAATTGCTTCAAAGATGAACGAAAGACTTGTGTGGGTTTGGAACGACATGAAGGTGAGTAATAGATGACAATTTTTAGTTTTGGACGAACTATCCATTTAAATGTTGGGGTAGTAAAACATTTTGTATAGACACATTTGTTTGCATATTAAATGATAAAGGAGACCTGAATTAACAAAGAAGTATGGCTGGATGATTGGCCCATAATAATCTGACTCGACCAATGAGTGTTTTAGCTCTTGATTTAAAAACCCTGTTAAAGTCTTCCTTGTAAATTTGTATACTAACCCTGTCCATATGTTAAAACACATGCATCAAAGTAGAATACTGTGATTTGAAAAGTATAATGTCTTGTTAGCATCATGTGGTGGAAATAAGATTTAAACATTTCTGGAATAAAATGGTTGACTCTTTTTATCTCAACTTCACAGCTAGCATTTTACATATTGTAACTATGCACAATTAATTTATATTTTCACATGCATAATTAATAACCGAGATATATAATAAAGATCTTAAAGGTAATTGTCATACTACCCCAGTGACAAGTTTAAGTTGCAATATTTGCAGTTACTTACTGTGCTCACATGTTGTTTCAGGTTTCACATGTTATTAATTTAGACAAGAACACAGGATGTTTCTTCTGATTATATTCTCAAATACAAAATATTGTGTTTTGATTTGACACAAAACCATATGCAGATACTGCTTTACAGACAAGACACAAGGTAATAACATATCCACACAAGGAACTAGTTTGGATCATTACTAATCTGCAATATGGGAATAGATGTGCATCAGACCAATCAGAGTATTTTAAAAATGCTATATAAAAAGCAAAATGCTAACCTTCACAGGCTTGAGACATCAGAAAATTGTTATTCAAGATTTAGGTTATTAAAATTTCCAATATGATGTACCTGGACAAAAGTGTTACATGGTCTTACATCGATGTGTACATACAGGCATATGATCATATACAGAACAATACCCATAACCATCTACCGCAAAATGTGGTTCTTTAATCTTACAAGATAAAAACAAATAAAATCAGTGGTAAACCTAATGGAACACAGAAACACATTGCCTCTCTCTCGCTCTATACATCAGATGTAAATCGAAGCGTGCAAAGCTTTCTCAATAAATGTTCACCTTTTTCTCCACATCATAGTGTGTGAGCTGTTTGCAGCGGACTAAACCACACATTACTAAATTCAAATGTCGAACCTCTCATCTACAAGTACACAGAGGAAAAAAAGATCAAGCTGTATGTAAACAAAAATTTAGTAGAAGAGCAAAAAAGGGATACTTGTCACCAAAACTCAAACAGAGCAATGGAGGGCCACACAAATGTGGTTACCTTTAAGAGTGGTATAAATAGGGAGCGAATAAACGTTTACAGAGAGCAGGCAAAAAAGGGTAAGACTGGGTAACACAAAAAAGGCATGAGGAATGCTGTTTAGGGAATGGGCTGTCTGAAACACCTGCGATGCTACTACTGTGTTCCCTGGGTGCCCTGGCTGCCCTGCTGGTTGTAGTTGCCGTAATTGCCGTATTGGTTATAGTACTGGTTCCACTGGCTCTGGTTCTGGTAGTACTGTTGCCACTGCTGAGCATACTGGGGGAAGTAACGTACAATGTATAAAAATACATGCAATACATGCACATGCATTCAAGATAAGGGGACAAAAATGCCACTGTAAAATTACTAAACTAAATCTATCACAGCTGTCATGATTAAACATAACTGTGGCATTATATCTAAATCTGCTTACATTGCATCAGATTTCGTTTTAGGTGTTTTTTGCAGCATTGAGCATTATAACCAATCACACACGTTTCTGTAGTTTATAAATGCAGTGGCCAATCAGAGGTGTTTAGATGTTCTTTGCTTGTATATAATGTATTCCCAATTTGAATAACCGTTTACTAAAATACAAACAAAGTCTTAATTTTCTAATGCATAAAAAAACTAATTCATAAAGGTTCTTAGCTTGTTTTGTCATTGTAGCCAGATTATCACATGCCATCAACAATAATTTTTAATCTTTATTAGCAAAAGCAATAATCTGCAATATGATGACTTTTGTCATAAAATTGCAGCCCTACCCTCTGAGTTCCGGTTTTAAATGTTTATATGTATGCCAGCATTAAACAGTCTGTGTAAATAAACATAAATGCAATGCAAGATGCAGCTTCTGTTCTAACTGCAGTATAAAGACAGCTTTTGTTTGATGTATTCTAAATGATTGAAGTAATGGGTTAAATTGAAATATTTGACATAAAAGATAAAACAAATAATTTAAATCAAGTTAAGCTAATATTGCCCCTTAATGGAGAATTTGATTTCAGACCCTGGTGACTGTATTCAGTTTCCTCACCTGCTGGTACTGTTGATTGTAGCTCTGCTGCTGCTCGTTGTAGGTCTGTCCTGTGGGAGCGGGAGTTTGACTGTAGCTCTGGCTGTATCCTGGGTATTGACTGTAGTTGCCATAGTTGTACCCTTGGTTGTAGTTGCTCTGGTTGTAGCCTTGGTTGTAGCCTTGATTGTAAGCCTGAGGCTAGAAAAAAAATAAATAAATAAAATGTAAGCAATGATTTCAAGTCCTGTTGGTTTCACAAGCTGATTGTTGGATAATGTAAGCCCAGTCTTAATACCTGTGCTTGGCTGTAGCTTCCAGTTGATCCAGAGCTACTCTTGTTGTAGGAGCCCTGGCGGTTGTGGTTGTAACTGCCTCCAGATTGCTGGGTGCGGTTGTATCCACCACGGCCTCCTGAGCCTCCATCCCTGTAGTTATTTCCCCAGCGATTCTGGTTGTAGCCTCCACGGTTGTATCCTAATGAATTAGTTGAGTGATTATCAACAACTTGTAGGCAGAATCTAACCACCAACGTAGAACAAGAAATATGGAATAGATGTACAAGCTGATCATTAATTGCAAAATAAACCCAGACAGGGTGATCAAAATAACCTAACACACTGAAGGGGTTTTCTTTGCTGGCTGACAAACCCGACTGTACATGATCCCGATTATTACACGGCTACTCACCATATACAAATATGTGGACATGAAATATTGAGTTGGAATTACTTTATAATTTAACCTGAATATTGTCTTAAAGCTCTCACAAAAAACAAAAACAAACAAACAAACAATAGACCATTATAATGTTTAAAATAAATCGGCCTATACAAACACTGCAACAATACTGCAGTTATATTAATACCAAATACTCTGAGATAATTTTCTGTACAATCAATAACTGATATGCAAAATGGTGACAGTTGTGTTTGTATGAAATGAGAAAGCAAGTCCACAATGTGCCATGAAAGTAGGGCTTTTTTACCCCCAGGACTCCTACATGAATAGAAAGTTCAAAAGAACAGCATTAATTTGAAATAAATAGCCTATTTATTTTTTATAAATTAATTTATTTATCTTTTAACATTATAAATGTCTTTACTGTCACTTTTTAATGTGTCTTAGCTAAATAAATAAATCGCTAAATATATTAATACTACTACTACTAATAATAATAATTTACTGCCCCAAACTTGAAAAAGCACAAAACTAGCAAATTTAGGATTCTTACCTCCTCGGTAGCCTCCACCTCCAGAGCCGCCCCGGTTCTGGTATCCACCTGCGCGTTTCAGAAAGGCGGCGCATAAAGGAAAAACAATAATGTACAGTATGTGGAAAAAAATTAGTTTTTTTAACCTTAAACCGCATAAACACATTTTTCATTACACCAAATAATGTTCTTTTTAGCAAAATCATATGACCCCTTTAAACTAACCAAACATTTGGTCATGCTTAAACTGTAAGTACATCAACCACTTCCAAACATCAATGACAGATTTTAACACATTATCTGCTGGTACATATTGCTCTGACTACAAGGAACTCATTTCAAACTTCTGAAGAATGTAAATAACCCTCACTTCTGTATTTCAGTGTCATGCACTGCCTGGGTCCCCTTCCTTACCTTCATTTACCCGTTGTTCAATAGACCAGCGTGCCCGACACGGACAAACATTTAGTACCTACCCGTTTATACTCACAGACTCCTTAGGGACCCATTAGCATGTCCATGACCTTACCTACCTTACAACCTCTGGAACTGTCCACCTGTAAACTTCAAGCAGGTTAGTTTTTCCACTTACCTGCCATTCATTTTTAAACACAACATTCAAGTAAAGTTCCAAGTTTATCTAATGAAAAGTTCTCGTTTTCTTTACAGTTACCATAGCAACAGAAGTTGTTTTCTTACTCACCAGGCAGTGATTACTTGTTTTTCAACATCTTACTAATGTCATGGACTACTTGTACAGTGTGGCAAAGATCTTTTTACAACAAGGCAATACATAAAGTCAAAAATATTCATTGCGACAACATACTACACTGTATTCTTTCCCTGCTCAAATTTTTTTTACATTTAAGCAAAACAAAACAAATTATAATTCAGCAACATGTTCAGGACAAAGAAATAAGGACTGGAAAAACAAGTCTTCAGGAGAACAATAGGCTAACAAATGCTACAGAGAGAGCAGAAGTGCATTAATGAACATGTGCATCAGTGAGCAGAAGTGGATGTGTTTTTTTTGGGGGGAGGGTTGAGAAGGAAGGGGAAGGGCTTTAGCTGTGAGGACAGCGCAGAGGAAGGCAAGTATGGCAGTACCTGATCCAGGATGTAGTTGCGTTTCTTGCGGGCAGCAATCTGGATGAGCCTGTTGAGACACTGCGTGGCCTGCTGAATAAGGATGTCCCAGCGTCCGGCATAGTTGCGCTGACGACGAAGTCCCATGACCTGATTGAAACGGAACGATGAACTTTAGTGTACAGACTTTGATTGGAATAATTACATGTTTTCAAATCGACTCACTGGCGTGTGGCCTGAACAATCAAGGTCTTGAGGATTATTAGAAAATTACAGACAGGTGTGTTTGATTAGGTAGAAGTTCAAATTTTGAAGGACGGTAGACATCAAGGGCCAGAGTTGCCCACGCCTTGCCAAAAATGTCTGTCTGAATGTGTATGGCTGTAGCGGTGGTTCTTTAAAGACTACCAAACTTTCCTAGTGGGTTTTACTATGCACAGCTGCCATAACAACAGGGATTATGTCCAGGAGCCATACCTTCATTTTCTCCATGATAGCATTTGTGCCCAGGATGTTGTGCTTCTTGTCAGGGTTCTCTTTAGCATGTTTTATGGCCCAGGTGGT